TTAGCCATTACTAGTTTTTATGATATAGATTTTTATTTCAGATAATTTTCTTGCCCTTTTCAGTCGATGTCTAAGTGACAACACTGATCTCTAATTTTAATTAGTTAATTTTTATTTAAAATTTATTCATTGTTGTTAACCTTATCTTAAATTAATAATATTCATTATCATTATACGAACTAGTTTATTAAATGGATCATGTGTAATCCTTTTAAATTTGAAAGAATTTCAACTCAAAACTTTCTTGAAAATATAATTAACTTTGAATTTAAGCCTTTTAATTTAAATAATAATATAACTACTCAAATTAAAAACAAAAAAATTCATAATGAATGTAATCAAAAAAACATAATAACGACAATTAATACATTCTTTCAATTCAACATGATGCAATTTTATTTGGGAAAGCATAAAATTAGCAAGTATTAAAGTCATATTATAATGGAAAATGGATCAAATTCCATCCAAGTCACATGATACATAGAAATTTAATTTTATTTTGTACACAACGATAATTGTTCAAAAATCAAATGACAATTAATACGGCAATAGCCATAATATTAAAGGAAGGATTTGAAAAATGAATTATTTATCATAAATCATTCAAATAGTATTGCTGAATTAAATAAAATAGTAATTTTTATAAAAAAGAATATTTGGATTTTTAATAATTTTTAATTTAAAGTTTGAGATTTAGGATTACAAAAAAATTATATAAGAAATAATGTGAATTATTAGTAATAAAGTTTTTTTTTTCAAAAAGAAATGCCATCTAAAGAAATGTGCGAAACTGGAATCGGTTTAATAAAAAAAACTATGAAAACAGGTTTCAAATTTTCTATACTAAACTTATCATAAAGGAAGCTACTGAATATCTTGCTCCTCATAATTCCTATTGTTAAAACATATATGCGAAAGATAAAAAATTTTGCATTGAAAATTTTACCTCGACATTTAATAAATATAAAGAGGTAATAAACTTTATTAAAAACAATGAGGAAGAATTAGAGAATTTTACTTTAGCAACCATGGCTTAAGATAGAATTATATTTTGGGAAATGGTTTATGCTGAATTTATAAATTCTAGTCATAATGAGTTAAATAATTACCTGAGAGATAAGTTACAACAAATGAAGCATGCGCGAGAAGGATTTAAAACTAGAATCAAAGCTTTAAATTATGATAATATTAATTCATATATAATTAATCGAGAGCCATATAGATCATTGCTATTAAAAGATCAAGTTTTTAACAAAGAAAATTTTGATTCTGTTTATTACCCATATTGTGATATCATGGAAATTTTTATAACTGACATAGAAACATTAGAATTACTCATTGATCAATATAAAAATTTTGATAGAATATGTTTTATCGAAAAAGAATTAAATATAAAGTATATATAGAATATACTTTTCATTGTTTTTTATATATAACAAATAATGATAAATAAAAACCTTTATCATTTGTAAATATAAACCCACTCCAGAATCGTATTAAATCTGACCAATAGATTTTACCAATAAGTTTTTTTTTTTTTATCTAATCGTGCTAAAAATATTTATTTGTTTAATCCAAAAAGTAATATCCATTTCTACAATACAAAAGTATCAATATAAATTTTTTATAGAAAATTTTGACAATTGATTAAATTGAATTTATGAAAAATACTCGGTCAAGAAAGTTAAAATTCATTCAATTTTTAGCTTTTCCCACAAAAATTTGGCGAAGCATATTCACTCCCTCAAAATCTAATTATTTCTTTCCGGTCAATAATATTGCGAAAAAAAGGCAATTAATGAATTGGCTTCCTATTATAATATTCATAGTCCAGTAAAAGTAACATTTGAAACTATAATTGACGATTATGAAAGGTTTATTCAAGGATTTAAAATCATCTTTCTAGATTTATATATTTTCTATATTTTAGCCCATTTCTACGTAATCATATTCCGTTCATCAAAGATCAGGTTAAAGCAATACTTAAAAATCGGGATTACTTGTTTGAAATATTAGATTTAATGATTAAGAAGAGAAGGAAAGAAATCAAAGAGATTACAGTAGGAACTAAATTAAGGAATGATAAATTGATATTTTTAATTATTACTAACACTGAAAGAAATATAAATTATGTAAATATTGCTAGAGATAATATCTTTAGACCGATGACAGACGTTGAAATAAGAGCTAATTTACTTGATTCTTTCTAAGGTGGTGTTGACACTGTAAGTAATTAATAATATTTGAATTATAACTTATAATTAATAGTTTTTATTAATTGTTTTATGTTAAAAAATTTTAGACTACAAATATATTCAGTTTTATAGTCTACTATACCTGTCAATATCCTCAAGTTAAACAAAAAATAATTGATGAAATTGATTCAATATTCCCTCCAAATACTTCTTTCCATCTGAAATATGATGAGCTCTTAAAATTGGAATATTGTAATGCGATTATAAATGAGGTTAGCTGACTTTACCCAATCGTAATTAAACTTCAAAGATTTGTTAAAAATCCTTGCAAAATAGCTGGACATCGATTTGAAGCTGGAACAGTGATTCACATAAATACTAATGGTATTCATACACATAAAGATTATTGGCCCAATCCTGAAATTTTTGATCCAAATCATTTTTATAAAAAAAATAAAAGTAAATATATGAGAAATAAAGTAAGTAATAAATTTTCACTATTAATATTTGGTGCAATGATGGGTGATGCAACTCACTGTTCACGTGACTCTTAAAAACATTTGGTTGAGTTGCGTCATGCGTCATGCGTCAGTAATGCAATATATGGTTTCATCAGATTGCGTCATAGTTTCGTCAGGCCTCATTAGTTGCGTCACCCATCACTAATTTGGTGGTGGTTTATGTATCTGCCCTGGAAGAAAATTAGCAATGATTGAATTACTTTCATTAATGGTAATGTTATTTGGAAAATATAATGTTGAGTTAGTTGATATAAACACTCTATTAAAGGTGAAAAGCACTGCAACAACTACTTGTGGAGAGTTGCCAATTAAAATTAAGTCTAGAAAATAGTTACTTTTTTTTTTTATTATTAAAATAAGATATTAGCAATATAAGAATCAATGCTATTACAAAGATGCTTTTTACTAATTTCATAAATAAAAAATTTAACTTTTTTTCAAATAAACAAAATCACATCTCACATCTGTTATCAAATATCACATTTGAAGAAAAGCAATTTATCTTGAATCTAAATTACAAGTGAAAATAAATTATTGATTTATCAATTGAATTTTTTAGTAATCCTAATTGGATTTAATATTTCAAGTTTTAACACAAAATTTGATTCATAAGTAATTGAGTTTATTTCTATTGTTTAGCTTGTCAGTCCTAAAAAGTCAACGAGCCTAGCATTTTCTTTAATTTTATTGCTTGCTTGGCAGTAAAAAAATATTCTAAAAATTTTTTCAATCATAATAATCAAATAAAACAATAGATTAATTTTATTAATTTGCTTTAGTTGATAAAGGCAATATAATTTTCACAATGCTAAAAATTTTATTTATTCTGCCATTTTTACTCAATCATTATGTCTAATGATCTTAATCAAAAAGAAACTGTAAATGTTCTATTAGTTTATCTTTTGCAATTACAATATCTTGCAATACAATCCATTGAAAACAAGAACCATGATCTTTTGGTAAAAAACAATGGTAATGAGAAGCTCTCCAAAATGCCAAAAACTTCTGAAAAATCTTCTGAGCTCCCTACAATTTCCAAACATGCTAATGCAAAAAAACCCTGTTCTCCTGTTGGACAAACTCGGGCAAATGGGATTGTCCAGTCATACTTGAAAATCCCATATTGATATAGCAAAAATGGACAAATCCCAATCCCAAATTCAAACCCTGGCCTAGAGTTAACACCTCACTATATTTTATATCCAGATACATCCGGATATAAAATAAATCTAGATATAAATTACTATGTTTTACTTTAGCTTTATGACAAAATATCAATCCGGATATAAATATATTCAGATTAAAGTATTAGCTCTACCCTGGCCAAATCCCAAATCCACATGATGATTATCTAATAATAATTGCTGTCAATAGAAATCAGGCAGATCTACATTTGAAAAAAAAATTAATGGCTTAACTTTCACAGCTCATATTAAAGCTATCTTGATGGTTTAATATTTAAAAGAAAGCTTACGATCTAAGCTTTCTTTTGAATATTAAACTATCTAGAAAGCTTTAAAATCTATCAAGATTTGAGCTGTGAAAGTTAAGGCATTCATTTTTTTTCAAATGTAGATCCGTCTGATTTCTATTCATATTTTTAATCATATTTTACAAATCACACACCCCAAAATATTTTTATTTATTGATAAGCATGCATTTATATTAGTAAGTATAAATTTGCCAATATAACGATAAAGTATGACTTTTTAAATATCATTACTTAAATGAAATCACAACAGAAATATTCAAAATAATAATTACTAAACAAAGGATAAATTATCAACTTTATAGTTTCACAAGAAAATCTTAATTTTTAGATTTGTCATATTGCCATAAAATAGCTATTTTTCATCCAATGAATGTAAAAATTTTAATCAATAGATTGAAAATTAATAACATCGCCATGAAAAAGTAATTATTGGTTATTGATTATTAACCAATAATTATCATGAAAAACTTAAATTATTATCACAATAACACTTTATTTAGTAAAAAAAACAAAAAACAAAGGGTGGATCATGAGGAAAAAGATTAGCTATATTGGTGTAAATTTTAAAGTAATTAATCAAATTATAAAATATATATTATAAAACCAGACAAAGAATCTCATTATATATTATAGAATAATTTCTTTGAATATGCAACATCAAATTGCATTTTAAAAAATATTGATATACAAACCTTATTATGTATAAATATAGAAAATGAAGTCATGATAATGAATCATCCAATCACTCTCAGAGT